GTGTTTCTACCGTACGCGCAGCTGAACGTCGTCGGTCAATGCATGTCGATAACGATGAACAGGACCGTAGTTATAATTTGTGGGCTTACCTCGGGTAACGAGTGGAGAATGCAAATTCTTTTAAATGCTGTGCCTCGCCTTCCTCCTGATTACTTGCTAAATCCACAAGAGCACATCGAAACACGCTCTATGAGATTTTCGAGTCAGGAGGGAGAATGCTCTTTTCTTCGCAACAAAAAGAAATATCCACACGAGTACACGTGCACCAAAATTATCCCATTTGCACACTAGTCGTGTATCCTGGCTACCAATTGCTCGGGACACTTAACTGCTTCCCGTTACTATTTGGTCTATCTGTCTTGTTAAAATATCATAGAATGTTAGGTTAGTATTGTTAATTTTGCCCTTTTCATTCTCACTATCTCTTCCTTACATTCCTTCTCAAATTGAGACTGCCCGCAGCTAGCAATCATCATTTTAAGTAGATGCTGTTGGATAATGGTAAACTTGTAGAGCTTCTTAGGCCTATACTGAGAATAGTTAACGAGGGACGCTGTTTTGTGGTTTCTGTTAACAATGTTTACGTCAACACCATTTTCTATGAGAGTCAACGGCTTCGTCCTGATCGACGCCGGATGCGACATGAAGAGCAGTGTTACCACGCAAATCTATGGAATCGACGTCGACGCCCGAATTCAAGATAGGAATGCAGGTGTCCTAAAATCTGAGCCTTAAATCGTAAACGAGAACTGGCTACGACTACGACCAATCCACCTGTCCCCAAAGGCTTGAGGGTACGCTCGGATACTTGCGGCATAACGGGCAGGAGCCCCGTCTCGCTGGAAGTTAATATTCCTCCGGATCTCAATTGGGAGATTTTCCAACAGGTCCGGAAGAACATCCTGCAAGAATGTCAGATATGTTGAGCCATCCAGGCTGTCTGATAGGATGTACGGCCCAACAATCCGCTTGCCGCAAATGCTGATCCATAAATTAATCGACCATCGGTCCTGTGACCCGTGTGACCCATCTCCAACGCGGAGAGATTCTCATCGTCCTAGATGTGTGAGTTGTTGCCATTGCGCTCTTCTCCAGATCTCTTGTACTCTTCTCTCATCCTTCTCGCGTAATCCTCTCGCAGCACGTTATGCACCCTTATGTTATGACGAGGGTGCATGTTATTGTCCCTTAGGATTCTGTGGTTCTCTGACTGAACGTTGTTTGTACTAAAACAAAAATGAAAAATTCCTTATTACACAAGAAACGAACTCGTGATTGCAAAGTTCTATTTAATTAGGAACTTACTTGGTTATGCGGTTGACGTCGCTTATACTAAGAATCGGGTCCCGATCGAACTTTTCGAGGGTTCTTGTCGAAGCTCTGTCCGAGACGCAGATGCTTGTCTCGGTCGGTCGATTTCCCGATGATCTGGTCGAAACAGATCTGTCGAGTACGCTTGATAAGCCAAACACCGAAAGGCGTTTTCGCTCGTAGATGTTTTCCCGGGATATATTTTCCCTTATCGCTCTCGAAACAATTGTATAATAGTCGTCGCGGAAAACCCAGCTTGATCGTAAATTACAATCATATTGTAATATTCCGCGTTTGTCAACAACCGATCCATGGTTCAGCTGAGGAACTGATGACAGAACCGAATCGTTCGCAGTTTTCCCTGCAGAAAATTCCTGTAAACAAAGCGTCCGGCTGTTTCGAATCTCATAGTCACTCTGTCGCTTGGATTAAGTCTCCTTAAGAGTCCGTTACTTATCTGGGTGTCAAGTTGGGTATTCTTCTGAACCGGTTTCATCTTGTTCGGTCTCGAGTTGGTAAACCCGTCTCTGTCTTTGGCTGTTGCGTCCACATATCACTTTGTCTTACTCGCTCAAGGCTAGGGTATTGCCATCTACATTGGGGGCATCAGAAGGGTGTTGACGTACGGTCTAATAGTCTTTTGGGAATGTCCATCTGATACCCAGAAGGCAATTGTGCAGAGGGTTCGGAAGATCGACGAAGGTCAAATTAATCAATTT